AATTCATTCATACAGTCTGTATACTTCTTTCTTTAAAATAATGTAAACTTTTTGCCTTTTATGAGTATTTTCCTTATATACTTGAATCGTGCATTTTCTAAAAAAATAAAAAATAAAATTACAGAATCTAGAAAATAGTTGTGGTATTGTAATTTTTATTTTTAAGTACCACTTGTACCACAATTTATTTTACTTACCAGCCAGTAACAAACATTTAGCTGGTACATTTATTTTGATATTCTATGATCAAACAGAATAACCTAAGATAATCTCCTCCTTTCCCAGCTAAATATCCCCACCACTTTACTAACGTTATCATTCATTTTTAATCTTTCATCTGCCAGAATGAAAAACGCTTAAGAGCAAGGAATTTACCTTGTTTACTGTTGTTCTTTGACATCTGGAGCAAGTGCCTAGCACATAATCAAATCTCAATCCATGTTTAGGAAGGAGTTAATGCATACAAGATATAAGTGAAAAATAAATATGTGATACATTTTTATACTTCCCTGAAGATAGAAGGGTTATGTCAAAAGTTTTAAAGCCCTTGGTAGGTCTTGCCAAGGTACACTGCAGGAAAGCTGTACCAGCCACCGCTCCCACCAGCGCGCTGGCAGCGGCGCGTGGCCCCCTTCTCCGCCGAGTGGGCAAGGCACTGCTTTGTGATGCAGTTTCATATGGAACTCAGTAGTGAAGAAATTGACCGTATTTCTGAGGTTAAAGGCTATTTAGATTTAATTATTTACTTACTTTCCCCAATTCCTAATAGGGCCCTCTTTAGTAACTTCTATATCTTCGTGGTATTTCGTATTGATTCTGACCTATTCTCTTTTTCTTTAGCTCTTCAATCACATTTAGAGCTGGTGGATCTTTGATAGGTTACAACACTGGGTTTCCTCAGGGACAGTTTCAGACTCTTTTGTCCTATAAACATTGTCCTGTTTTTTAGAATAATGTGAATATTTTGCTGGTAACTGGACAACTGTAACAACAATATGAGGTAACCCTGGAAGCCGAGGTTTGTGTGACGGCCTGGGGAAGGCTGCCCACGTTATTTACCCAGTGCTTACCCCTCACCGTTTCCGGCAAACGATGCACTTGCCCATGTGGACCCTGAGGGCTCCAGGTACCGTCTCCGTGGTCAACCAATGACCTGAGAAAGCCAAGACAAACAAAACCCTGCACTATCCTTCGGCGACTGGCTCAGCTCGGCAGCACGCCTTTAACACCCACCCAGGCTCCCACAGCTCTGCTTCAGCCCTCGCTTCCTGCCCGCTCAGCAGCCCCGTGCTCGGCCAGGGTCACCTGGCCTGGCGGCCTCAAGGGCCTTTCAGGAGCCTGTTTGGTTCTGGGCTGCTATGTTAACACTGGAATCTTCTACAAATATGAGTCTTCCAAAGACTGTATTCTTATACGTAGCTTCCTCGTCACTGTTCTTGTATACTTTTTTCAGTCTGCTTACTAATTCTCCCATCCTCTGTCTCTAGTCTCAGGTAGCCATGGGTGGTCTAGACCTTTCAAATTTCCAATAGATACCACCTAGAAAATCATTCCAGCTCTGAGACATCCAAGGGAAGCCAAGCAAAGACCATCCCTCAGGGAACTGTGACAGGTAAGTGTGCGTAACTGGGGGGACCACGATTTCTTCTTTACAACACTATCTTCTATCATCCCCCGGCACCAGGAAGCCACATCAGAACTCCAGGTTGTCTATACTCCACCTGCTGCCAACGTGGGTACAATCAACACACAGGTTGTAGGACTCTGGAATCACCAGTGGCTTTTGATTCAAAATGTTTATATTTACGGGTCCTTAAAAAGTTAGTGAAAATGTATCTTATGTAAAACTAAGTATGAATTTCAAATTTCTTAACATCAAAATAAGCTTATCCCAGATCCATTTTTTACAGTTTTTTAAAGTACTTTGCGGATAGAATTATCACTTACAATAAGATGTTCTGTACTACCTCAAAAAGAATCTCTTGGGTGAGCCATTCCGGCCAGGTGCCATAACAGAGTGTTTGGCTTCAGTTCCCAGCTGCAGGTCTTGCCTCCAGTTTCCCACGTAAACAGATGCTGAGAGGAGCATGGAGGGCACAAGGAACTGGTTCCTTCCACACGATGGAGAACCCAGGTACCACTCCCCGCTTCACTTCTGCCTCTTGTAGGCATTTAGGAATCGAAACAGTAAACGGGAATTCTGTCTCCATCCTTTTCTATTTTTCTGTCTCTACCTTTCAGCATATTTCCAAGCAAAAATGTTTTGAAATCCATGCATATGAAGAGCCCTCCAAAAAGCTGCAAATGAGGACTCTAGGAAGTTGTTAACAAGGACTCACTTAACAAGGTAAGCCAGCATTTTGTTCCTGACTGCTAGTTATACACTTTATCCAGCCACAGGCATACTAAGCACCAAGGGGTGAACAAGTGAATGGATAATCTCTCTAATGAGTAAATAATTTTTTGAAAAACTCATAGAAAATGTGTATTTTAAACATTTTTTTACTAAAATAAGCTTGTTTTGGGATTAATTTTTTCTAGGAACTTTCTGAATTACCCAGTTGTGTGTGCTCTCCACCTGCAGTGGTGGCAAGCCCACACGGCCCTGGCTCCTGTTCCAGCTGCTCCACTCCCAACTTAGATCACCAGGTGTCAGGTGAGAGGCAGCAGGGATGGCTTCAGTTCTCTGGACGCTCGCACCCACAAGGGAAACTCTGAGGAAGTTGCTAGTTTCAGAGTGGCTCAGCCATGGCCATTGTGCCATGTGAGGGATAATCCAGAGGTAAAAGATCTCGATCTCTCTCTGTCTCTCTCTCTCCTCTCTGTGATTCTTCCTTTAAATACAAATAAGTAATCTTCCAAAACAGTGCCCCTACTGATGAGATGACGTAATCTAACACCCTAGTGTAACGAAGCAGAAAGATCTAGGTAACAGATACTACAAACTAAACAAACAGGGGCTGTTGTTATGGAGCATCACGTTAAGCCTCCACCTGCAATGCCAGCATCCCACATGAGTACCAGTTCAAGTCCCAGACATTCCACCCTTTAAGATTTATTTTTTTATTTTTTATTTTTTATTTTTTATTGGAAAGTCAGATACACAGAGAGACACACAGAGAAGAAGATCTCCACCCGCTGCTTCATTCCCCCAAGCGGCTGCAACAGCCAAAGCTGAGCCAATCCAAAGTCAGGAGCCAGGAGCTTCTTCCGGGCCTCCCATGCAGGTGCAGAATCCCAAGGCTTTGGACCATCCTCGACTGCCTTTTGGGGCCACAAGCAGGGAGCTGGATGGGAGGAGGGGCTGCCAGGATTAGAATTGGTGCCCATTTGGGATCCCAGCCCGTGCAAGGCAAGGACTTTAGCCGCTAGGATACCATACTGGGCCCAGCTCTTCCACTTTTGATCCAACTCCCTAATATCTGGGAAAGCAGCATAAAATACTCCAAATCCTTGGGCCTCTGTACTCACATGGGAGACCCGGATGAAGCTCCCAGTTTCTGACTTCAGCCTTGCCTTGTCCAGCTCTAGGCCCCAAGGGCATTGGAGGAGCAAACCATGAGAAGGAAGACTAATCTATGCCTTCCACACTCCTGTACTTCCTCATAAAGCTGCTTTTCAAATAAACAAATAAATCCTTTTAAAAAGAAAAACAGACTGCAATCTGTCCACAGGCTTTACAAAATAAAGTCAGACGTGATCACGATGGTTCTTGAAGAATGGGCAGAATTCGTAGGATAAAGGTGAGAGAATTGTATGAGAAGAGAAAAGTAAGTCTGCGAGTGAGTAGGCAGGAAACCTGTGCGAGCCAGTGTTCAGCCTGGTTTAAACACACGTAACAAATCAGGGAGCTGCAGGCCAGGGTGACAGCTCAAGGGGTAAAGTGTCCCCTTGCACATGCCAGGATTCCATACGGACACCAGTTCGTGTCCTGGTGGCCCCACTTCCCTTCCAGCTCCCTGCTTGTGGCCTGGGAAAGCAGTCAAGGACTGCTCACAGCCTTGGGACGCTGCGCCCACATGGGAGACCTGGAAGAAACTCCTGGCTCCTGGCTTTGGATTGGCTCAGTTCCAGCCATGAGGCTACTTGGGCAGTGAATCATCGGATGGAAGATCTTTCCTTTTGTGTTTCTGTTTCTCTTTGTAGATATGCCTTCCAATAAAAAGTAAATAAATCTCAAAAAAAAAAAATCAGGGCGTTGCAGAGGAGAAGGCTGAGTGGATTACACGGCAGCTGATTTCAAAGCCAGGTGGATGGCGTCCTATTTCATCTGAAAGAAGACAGGACAGAGCTCCAACTGCAGATCATTCACACTCACAAGGCTCTCAGCACCCTAAGGCTCGTTATCCTATGTTACACTTGAGGAAAAGAAGTCAAAGAACAAACACGTGATTCCTCACAGTTAAGACGAGCATGAAGTAGCTCCCCTCAACCTTTCCCTGCCGCGTCGTCCTGCTTTGGGGCATCTGAACAAGCACCCCGTCCCGCAGTAACAACGGGGAGAGGCTGGCTTGGCTGTTGGCCTGGATTCTAAACGGAGCATGTGGAAGTGGGGAGGATTCTTTGAGAGGAAAAGCTCTCAGATGTATACAAATATAACTTCCTGATAAACATATGAAAGTGGTTATTTTTAAATTTTATTACTAATTCGCTATGCAAAGCATGCAAAAAAATTTTGTGTAAAATGCATTGGCAGAATTAAATTAAATTAAAAGGGCATATATTTTAATACCTTAACCACTCCACTATGTTTTACACTGAGGCTCAAAATAAGCCCTTCCAGAAAGGCAAATAGTAGTGAACATGCGCCTTCCTCAAATGGGAAGTTCACTTCATCCCAGGAATCTGCAACCGATCGAATCGGGCTTTAAAAAGGTAGATTAGAAAGAAGCAGTAGTATCCATTCACTGAAATATATTTTTGAGGCTCCAGAATCATGCGTGCTGTGCATTCTCGTGCTTATGACCGCGCATGCGTGCTCACTCAGCCGTAGGACTTACCCCTGTCTTATCACACAGGCGTAAAGTGTGGAAGGACCCGACAGCAAACAGCTCGCCATCTGGAGCCCAGGCAACCGAGGTGATAGGGTGCTCGTGGGGCTGTGAGTTGTACAGGAGGCGGCCGTAACTGTCCCACACCTGCAAAAGCAATGTTTTCAAAATGCATTTTAGCAGCCACAATATTATTATAACAAATCTTTCTTCCATAGTGTATAAAATAAATATTTAGGAAGGACTACCTCATAATATTAACAGTTAAATGTCTTAACTCATACAAGAGAGAGAACATCAAAGTCCTTGAAATATAAATAATCTCAAAATGAAAATATTTTATAGCATTTATAATTTTCAAATTTTATTAAATCTTTCTTTTAAGTTTTATTTATTTTTCTTGGAAAGTCAGATACACAGAGAGAAGGAGAGACAGATAGGAAAATCTTCCATCTACTGATTCATACCCCAAGTGGCCACAACGGCCAGAGCTGAGCCGATCTGAAGCCAGGAGCCTTCTCCTGGTCTCCCCAAGTGGGTGCAGGGTCCCAAGGCCTTGGGCCATCCTTGATTGCTTTCCCAGGCCACAAGCAGGGAGCTAGAGGGGAAGTGGGGCCACCAGAACACAAACCAGCACCCATATGGTGCAAGGTGAGAACTTTAGCTGCTAAGCTGTCACAACGGGCCCTAAATCTTTAATTAAATATAAAACCCATTCTGCCTTCCTAGATGTGATAGCAATGGTTTGACATGTTCAATATTTTGATTAAAAACTTTCACCCATGAAGGACTCTACCAACTTTCTCTAAAATTACTTCTTTCAACAAAATACCTCTAACTATATTTTATTTCTTTGCACAATTTCTTTGGTCCAAAACCCTCCATAAGCATAAACCATTACTGTTAATTCCAAAAACTGAAATGAACTGATTTAAATGAAGTCCCTCAAGCTAAGTGTTATAGTAAAGTTGCTACTTAGTAAGTCAAATTCTGCAAGTCTAAAAAGGTTATTTTAACTTAGTCCTTTAAAATACAACTTAGAATTACAGTGTGAGTTGTTAAATTATTAGAGTTAAAAGACAGTAGTAAAATAAATGGCTGAAAGAAAACATTACATGCTAAAAATGTTTCACCAAAATTTGAGTCTTTCAGCAAGATGAGAAATCTCAACACCACATACCTTATATTTACAGTCTTCACCAGCAGACAGGATCAGATCGTTGACCGAGTTCCAATCTACTTTTAAAATAATGCCATCATGAGCTTTCCACTGTGAGGAAATAAAAAATATGAATCACAGCTTCCAAAGCACTAGGAGACAACACTTTGCTTCCTTGCGAGGATTCTCTTATCTCCTCAGAGACTGCTGTGCCCCCTCCCTGGCTGTGTCACAGAAGCACCTAGCACCAGGGCATCCAGCACCAATGCTGTGCCCCCTCCCTGGCTGTGTCACAGAAGCGCCTAGCACCAGGGCATCCAGCACCAATGCTGTGCCCCCTCCCTGGCTGTGTCACAGAAGCACCTAGCACCAGGGCATCCAGCACCAATGCTGTGCCCCCTCCCTGGCTGTGTCACAGAAGCACCTAGCACCAGGGCATCCAGCACCAATGCTGTGCCCCCTCCCTGGCTGTGTCACAGAAGCACCTAGCACCAGGGCATCCAGCACCAATGCTGTGCCCCCTCCCTGGCTGTGTCACAGAAGCACCTAGCACCAGGGCATCCAGCACCAATGCTGTGCCCCCTCCCTGGCTGTGTCACAGAAGCACCTAGCACCAGGGCATCCAGCACCAATGCTGTGCCCCCTCCCTGGCTGTGTCACAGAAGCGCCTAGCACCAGGGCATCCAGCACCAATGCTGTGCCCCTCCCTGGCTGTGTCACAGAAGCACCTAGCACCAGGGCATCCAGCACCACGCTCACAGCACGAGGAATTTCCAGAAGAAAAATCACTTGACACTGCACAATTTCAAACTTGATATTTCTGTGATCTTAATGAAACTAATACATATTTCAGAAATGCTACTTGAATCTAAATCTTGCTCATGCCTTCATCAGCTGATGCCGGCACTGACGCTGCAGCAACGCATCTTTATCAGTTCTTCTGTCTTCATATTGCAAGGATAAGTTCTTTAGGACTCTTTCCATTCTCTTATGCTGATTTCCTCTCTCTCTCTTTATCTACAAATGTCTCGTTGACAGTTTGACTAATCCGAGAATCTTTTTTTTAAAGATTTATTTATTTTTATTGGAAAGTCAGATATACAGAGGGGAGGAGAGACAGAGAGGAAGATCTTCCATCCAATGATTCACTCCCCAAGTGACTGCAACAGCTGGTGCTGCGCCAATCCAAAGCCAGGAGCCAGGAGCCTCTTCTGGGTCTCCCACACAGGTGCAGTGTCTCAAGGCTTTGAGCCATCCTCAACTGCTTCTCCAGGACACAGACAGGGAGCTGGATGGGAAGCAGGGCTGTCGGGATTAGAATCAGTGACCATATGGGATCCTGGGCGTGCAAGGCGAGGACTTTAACCACTAAGCTATCGCACCAGGCCCTAATCTGAGAATCTTTTACAGAACTTTCCATATAGGAAAAAGATATCCCCACCAGTGTCAGCTGGAATTGGTGATTTAGCTAGGCTGGGCCAGGCTACAGCACCCACTGGCAAAAGCTGAGGAGAGGGGGACCATGCCAGTCTGGGCTGCAGCACCAACCAGCACACGAGTACCAGGGGGAGAGGGGGCAAAGCTGGTAGGGGGAATATGAAAGGCTCCCCTGCTGAACAACCACTCCCACTGGACTGTGTGAGTTGGATGGGGGCAGACCAGAACAAGCAGGGCTACAACACCTGTGGGCCTCATGTGAGTTAGACCAGGGAAAAGCCAGGCTGGGTTGACTATTCCTACTGATGCAAGCATAAATCAGAATGGGTGAGGGTTGTTTGGGCTTTGCCACAGCATCAGCTGGCAGAGGTTGGCACTGGGGGCTAAATCTGTCAAGTTAAACTCCAGAACCACCTGGAGAGTGCATGATTCAGGAGTGGGGGTAGGTCCAGTAGGGAAATAGTGGGCACCTCCCTTTTGGGTTTTCACTCCCACTGGTGAGCATGAGAACCGGGACTGGGGTAAGGGGTGCTAGAAAGAACGGCACCTGCCAGCATGTGTGTGGGCTGGATAGTGGGACTGGTTTGGTTGAACTAGGCTTCAATGCCCACTGACATGTATGAGAGCTGAATGGGATGTGGGACAGACTGGACAAGTCTGCCACACACACTGGCAAACATGGGAACCAGGGCATTGAACGGGCCTGGTGGGGGTTATTGCGGGTCGTTCCATCTAGGCTGTAGCTCCCACTGGTTTGTGTAAGGGCTAAATGTGCTGGGCAGAATCAGGGTGAACTGCAACACCCATTGGTTCAGGTAGAAGACAGAACTAGAAACAGAACTGACCCAGCAATATGCACAGGTTGATAGGGCCGATGGACTGTGCCAGACACTGCTGGCAAGACATTTGTTAACTTTGTGAAATATACATCTACGCACAAATCACTAATTTGGAACCATGAATTCACCTCTATCTTCTTAATCATTGAAATGCATTTCAATTGCTTCTACTTAAACACATTTAGACGTGCTGTTACCTGTCAGCCTCAATCACGGAAAGCCCTCACCCAGGTCCACCACTCAGCCTCATACTATCCTGACTAAATGACACAGATAAGATAGAGCGCTTGCTGGATGCACTGTCCTGTATTCTTTGCAAGTTAACTCCTTTAATCTCCATAACAATCACACAGTGAGGGTATTAGTGTCCCCAACTAAAGAGTGAGCAAGTTAACGGTCAGAGACATCTCACAGCCTGTCTAACGTCACACGTGTGTAAGTGAAGATTCAGACCCCGGAGACTCCAAAGCCTCTATTGTTTTTACCCAAACTACACTGTGTCATTATAAAAATGTAAAGAAAAGCATTCTTTCACATTGGCATCAAATGACAAAATCCTGGATCTAGACTTAAACCTTTTGTGTTCATCTGTTCCATCTAATCTTTCTAACTGCCCCTCTGACTGGCTTGCCACCGCGTAGTTATCGGTTCACAGTTTTCTCTCTGTAACAATCTTTTCTCTCGGAACAGGCTTTTTTCTTGGTCCTTTACTTTGAAACAACCACCTATCCTCTCTCCATGTTCAGCCTGTAAGAGCAGACGTCTGGCCTAGTGTGTAAGCCAGTGCCGGTTAGGATGCCCGCATCCTGGACCAGGAAGGCCTGGGCCTCAGTCCCTCTTGCCCTTCTCACTCCAGCTCCTACTGGCACACACCCCAGTGGATGACGATGGCCCAGAGAGCCGGCTGCCCACCTGGGAGCCCTGCCTTGAGCTCCTGGCCCTGGCTTCTTGTACTCCATCTCTGGCCACTCCGGACAGTTAGTGAGCACAGCAGTAGGGGGAAGCTCCCTGTCTGTCTCTCAAAGAAGTGCACGAATTCTTAAAGATTCTGCTTCTAAATGAACTGTTCTTCCTTTCTGAACAACACAAAAGATGTGAGTTCAACATTTACCCTCAAGATAAATATTCTCTATATACTTAGTAACATTTTATGCTCAAACAAATAATTTGTTCTAAGTAATATATGGACTCCTCCACTCTGAAAATACTAAAAGAATGCAGAACTCTTAGAGTTCAAGTGTTTGAACAGATAGTGATGATAATGATGACAGAAATAAAAGCTAAGCACGCTCTTAACGTTCTGTGCTTTATTTCTGTTGTCTCAAATCTACGTATTTGTGGCTGACTGCTAAATTTAAAGATGATTTTCGTGCCAAATCATGTGACAATTCAGTAACAGGAAACAATTTGTGATTTACTAGTGTCACATGTTTCAAATAAGGGGGAAATAAACCTTGTTGAAAACAAATATTCTCTTCATCAATAAAAGCCAATGAAACCACACACTTAGAGGCCTCAGACTGTAAAAAGACCACCCAGAAGAAAGGGACCTCTCCAAAAACAGCCCTCCAGTTTAACAAGTCCTGATAACCATTTACAAATGCCTGAGAAATACCTGTAAAACTTTAGCATTTGGCTGAAGAGGCTTAATGATCAGCTGCTTGCCTGCTGTATAAAGGACCTTTTCTGAATCAGGGCCCCATGCTACTGAATACACCGGTGTTCCTGTAAATAGAAAGACAAAGAAATGTAGTATCTATGCTCTATAAAAAAGATTACTGAAATATGTACATGATTTAATATAAATTAATTCATTTTCAAGACACAAAGAGATATTTTAAAAGTCATGGTTTATCATTTCTCATCATCAACAGTTCTCAAATATTTACATTGATTCAGTGCAATAAACTTTCTGTATAAAAATAAATGTAGGTGTAGAGACTGCACAGCACATTAAGCCACCACTTGACATGTCCACATCCCATGCCAGATGCCGGCTCAGATCCCTCTACTTCACCAGCTCCCTTCTAATCCACCAAGGAAGCAACAGTCCCTGCCACCAACATGGGAGACTCAGGTGAAGTTCCTGCTCCTGGCTTTTCCTGACCCAAAGGATGAGAGATTCTCATTCATTCATATTCTCTCTCTCTCTCTCTCTCTCTCTCTCTCTCTCTCTCTCTCTCTTTCCCCCTGCCTCTCTTCCTCTCTCCCTCCCTCCCTTCCTCTCTCTCTCTCCCTCCCTTCCTCTCTCTCTCCCTTCCTCTCTCTCTCTCCCTCCTTCCCTCTCTCTCCCTCTCTGCCTTTCAAATGAATAAATAACTTACAGGAGGAAAAAATGCATGTGGGACCAACATAGTAGTGTAGCATGCTAGTCCTCAGCCCACAACTGCTGGCATCCCATGTGGGTGCCAGTTCATGTCCCAGCTGCTCTACTTCATACCCAACTCTCTCTGCTTATGGCCTTGGGTCCCTGTACCTATGTGGGAGGCAGAGAAGAAACTCCAGGCTCCCAGCTTCAGATTAGCCCAGCTCTTCCCATTCAGCTATTAGGGGAGTAAACTAATGGAAGAACTCTGCCTCTCCTTCTTTCTCTTTCAAATAAAAATAAAGAAATATTTAAAAACAATACATGAAGAGTAGGCATTTGGTGCTGCTTTCGATATTTCCAAGTCTGGGTACCTGGATCCAATTCTTTTTTTTTTTAAGATTTATTTATTTTTAATTGGAAAGTCAGATATACAGAGAGGAGGAGAGACAGAGAGGACTATCTTCCATCTGATGATTCACTCCCCAAGTGAGTGCAATAGCTGGAGCTGACCCAACCCGAAGGTAGGAGCCAGGAGCTTCTTCTGGGTCTCCCATGTGAGTGCAGGGTCCCAAGTCTTTGGACCATCCTCAACTGCCGTCCCAGAAGCTGGATGGAAAGCGGGGCCACTGGGATTAGAACCGGCACCCATATGGGATCCCGGCGCGTGCAAGGTGAGAACTTTAACCACTATGCTATCGTGCTGGGCCCTGGATTCAATTCTTGGCTCAAGCTGCCAATTCCAACTTCCTTCCAGTGTAAACCCCGGGAGACAGCAAGCACTGGGATCCCAGCCATGCACACAGAGACCGGACTGCATCCTCAGCTCTTGGCTTCCACCTGACCAGGCCCCAGCAGCTCCCCTCAGAACTGTGGGCATCTGAGGAGGAAACTGGGGCGTGAAAGCTCTGTCCTGCTGCCCCTTCAACTAACTTCTTAAAATGCACATTAGACTCATAAAGTAATTCCCATTTCTGATATGCACAAATCACATTGTGTCACCTGGTAATGGTGAGAAATTACTCCAAAACAGGTATACTCCTCCCACCTATGAATCTATAAATAGCAAGATAAATATCAGGTTGAGGAAATTTTCTATTGCAGAATTTTTTGCTGCATCCTATAAGGATACAGATGACTCTAGTTGCTGGGGAAAAGTATAATTATGATTTACCTATCATCTCTAATCACATGGAAATTTTTTACTGTTTTCAATTTCTGACAGGTATTTAGAGGAGGTTTTATCTTTTTTTTTTTTTAGTTATATTACATTTAAAGATAGTATTTCCTACTTTTATTACTTTCCAGATTACCCAGTATCTCCTGCAAAATTATAGTGAGCCTAGTTTTAAAAAAATTAATAATATGTATTGAAAGCTTTGGTCATCATCTATATTAAACTTGCTTGGCCCGGGTACTATTTATTAGGAAAGAGAATCAAGGGTAAACAATTAAGCTATGAAATATAAACACACAATTATAAAAGTGCAGATATTTCAAGAATTTATTTAGTAAAATAATAACTGAATTTGAGGATTTATAGGAAATTAATATTATATATTTATTCAAAGAGTGACATAAAGAAAGTTATTTTGTGGCCATTGGTTTACTTCCCAAATGTTCACAACAGCCAGGGCTGGGGCCACGATAAAGCCAGGAGCCAGGAATTCTAAGGACCCCAAGCCACAGTCCACTGCCTCCCCAGAGCCTCAGGAGGAAGGTGGGTCAGACAGCTCCCGCAGCTGGGCCTGGAACTAGGGACTCAGCTTTGGGTATGCAAGAAACCCAATCACTTAACCCACAGCTACCCAGTGCTGCCCCAATCGATTAAGGCTCAATTCTTCACTTAAATGAAAAACCAAAATGTTGCTATAATCAGCAGGGAGTAAATTTAAAGATAAATGCTTTGTTCAAGCAGTCCACCACTACTTCTGTGTCATTTTCTCCCCAGTCAGAACATAATTCAGTTGTTGAACAAGCACAGTGGCTTACAGAACTCAGAAAGTTTAGCACAGACCTAAAGAGTCCCTGAAGCATGTCTTCTAAAGTTTAGATATTATGAAGAATCCAAATAACTTGTTCAGTCAATGACATCTAAGATTGGTTTTGCACAAAAACAACCCACAGAAATTCTACCCAGAGATGAACTACCTCAGAAAGCACTTCTCTACTTGCTAGCTACTCTATTCTCTGAAAGAACTTTCTGGGAGTAATAAGAACTGACCTAAACTTCAAAAGTAAATATCCCAATAATGGAAGTTCAATTTTAATAAACTCCCCAGAAAATGAAAGCAAAGTGCAGATATTTCAAATGTAACTCATGGTGAGGACCACAGTGCAAGGAAATTTTATCAGTATTACATGTGTTTTCTTAATTTTCACTATTAGTTTTAATTTTTATACAGAAAAAAATGATATTCAACTTATAGCTTAACAGGGACCAGCATCACAGCCCATTCGGTTGAGCTGCTGCCCACACTCCCATAGGAGCACTGGTTTGCAGTCCTGGCTGCCCCACTTCTCAATCCAGCGTGGCAGTGGAAGATGCTGTAAGTGCTTGCACCCATGCGGGAACTCCAGGTGGAGATCCACGTTCCCGGATTTGGCCTGGTTCAGGCCTAAATACTTAGGAAAGCACTCTTTCCTGGAGTATATATTAAACTAAGGCAAACATTAACTCAGTATATACAACTCTCATTCAATTATACAGGATGTAACTCTAGGCCTTCACATGTGGTAAAAGGCACGACCGAGGTATAGAAATGAAAGCTAGGGACTCTTCTGTCCTCTAACATTTAATCGTGGCTCTAGTAAGTCAGCTGTGTCACCATTTCCTTGTTTATAAACTTTTCTTCAAGATACTTAACTCCCCACTGGGACAAGGAGACAACTCATTTCCTGCTTATAAAGCAATTTTTAGGCAACAATACTAACATTAAAAAAAAAAAGGTGTAACATAGTACAAACTAAAATTAAAGCTTATCAGAAAAATTTAAATAATTCCTCTGTGAAAACATGCAATTTTAATGGTATTTCATCAATCAAAATGTAAGCAATATAAACAAATATGAGGTTTTATATGGCAAATAAAAACCAACCCTAAATAAAATGAATAGCTAAGTCTTATTAGTTCAACACTTGTAAGCAAATAAAATTAAAAGTGGATATGACATCAAGAATTAAGAGAAGTTTTCATTATCACTTAAATTTAAAATATATTAAGTGTAAAACTAGTATAGATGTGAGTGGTTTCTTTTCCAAAGGAGGTAAACTACACAGCTATACAACTTACAACTTGGGCAGTCCTAAAGATCATTATGGAGGATGGAGATGCTAGCTTTACCAAAAAATAATCACTTCTACAAGCTTACTGAAGAAAAGATAAAGTAATTCCTTTGTTATAACACATGGTATGAAGTAGTCCTATTAATATTTGAGACAAATTCATAATACTTATGTTTTTAAAAACTAACTTGTAAAGCACAGATTATTTCTAGTAAAAGTCAGTTCTGGAAATAACAAATGCAACCTTCAGACTGAATTAATTTAAAACAAAGAGTTTACCAAATTATGTAACAAGATATTCATTTCAACATTAACAAAAATGAACATTAAAGTCATTTTATACTAATCAAATTATTTCTTGATTTTAATATTGGGAATATTATTTATACTCTATTTCTGTTAAGACATTCAAAAAGATCTTGTTTTTCTAACTTTGTACACTAAAATCATGTGACCTTTCTGACATTTTTAAGAAACCACACGCACCTGGGTTTGTGTTAAATGTCAGACCCTTATCTCTCTGTAAAACAAATTATCTAAATTCTTTCAACCTGTTGAAGGCTTTTCAAACCACAGAAGAAGAGATAAAAATGGTATTTCAGTTGTTTTAAGGAAGTACATGGTCAAATATACTATGTTTTTCACATTCATACTATAAAAGCATTCCCTAAAAATACTGTTTTTGTATGTTTTTAAGAATGCTTTTGAAACAAACGATATTAGAGTAAAGCATTTGTTACCCTTGCTTTGAGTGCAATATAGGTATATACTGAGTGAATAAAGAAGTAAAATACTCACAATGGAGCTTGGCTTGGTAGAAGCACTACTGGTTAGCTACTATGATTAGAAATGACTTTCTAACGCAATAACCAACAACTTGCTTGTGTTGTTCAAAGCAGTAGGCACTGGGGTTTTTTCCCCTTTTTTGTCCAAATCAAAAGCCAACAATTACTTCATTTCCTTTACATTTATAGGAGACATATCCCAAAAACAATCAAGCAGAACTTATGCCACATAAGCAACTTTTTCATTTTGTCTATCACTTGATTGGTATAAGAAAAATTTTCAGTAAAGGGATGCTTTTAGCTTCTCTCCTCCACCACCTCTCCTTGGATCTCAGCATCCCTTTCAGTCT